GTTCCTGCCACTTGCATAAGATTAGTGGCAACTGGATGGATCCCAAAATATAAATAGGAGTCATTAAAGTCTGCACAGTGAAACACTCAGGCTGCTCTTTTTATTTCTGGCATAATCCTTTTCTTTTTTTGTTCTAGATAAAATACAGCTGCTGAAATAAAACCTGGGATTGTTTTCTTCAAGACCTGATCCATGTCTTTGTCGGATAACTGTAGATTCCCAGATCAAGAACAAGCTAGCAAGAGTGTTCACGGGAAGTACAGTCAGCACTAAGGATGGGGGCTGGGGTGGGGGAGTCACAGGATGCACTAGTTGGGGGATTCATTAATATAGTTCCTGAATAATTGTGTCCGAGAAGGGAAAAGAGAGGCAAGCTAGTTTATCTTGCTTAACCAAACAAATATTTTTTTAGTGTTTCCTTTCCAACAAGAACTGTTGGAAGAACCAAGAACACCAGAGGAGTTCGAGAAAATAAAAATAACAAGGATAGTCTCCACCACTAACTCCACCCAGGGAGTGATTGAGTATTGATACTATCGAGACATTACTTAGCTGGATTCGAAGCTCTTGTAGTACAAATTAAACACGAGCGCTATGGAAACACAGAGCGAGGCAGCTGGCTGTGAGGGTGGTTCTGTGAAAAGCGCTATGGAAAGCTTTGGATAAGACACAAATCTGGGCTGGTGAGGTGGCTCAGTGGGTAAGGACACTTGCCATCAAATTCTATCCTGGGGAGAGATTACCTGACCTGAGTTTTATCCCCAGGATCCACACATGGTACAAGGAAAGAACTGGTTCCTATAAGTTATCCTTGGATGTCCACACACACACACACACACACACACACACACACACACACTACACACTACACAAATACACACACAAAAAAAAAATACACAAACACACACTTTTTAGGACTGGAGAGATGGTTTAGCAGTTAAAATCCTTTACTGTTCTTTCAGAGTACTGGAATTCAATTCCCAGCATCCATATCAAGCAGCTCACAACTGCCTGTAACTCCTGTTCCAGGAGATCTGAGCCCTCTTCTGGCCTCTGAAGGAACCTGCACAATGTGATACACACACACACACACACACACACACACACACACACACACACACACACACATCCCTTTTGGGGAAAAAAAACATTTTGTTTTTGTTGTTGTTGGTTGGTTTTTGTTTGTTTGGTTTTGCATTTTCAAGGTAGGGTTTTTCTGTGTGGTCCTGGCTATCCCAAAACTTGCTCTGTAGACCAGACTGGCCTCTAACTCAGAGATCTGCCTGCCTCTGCCTCCTGAGTACTGGGATTAGAAGTGTGTGCCACCACAGCATGGCATTAAAAAAACAAACAAACATAGTTTTAAAAATAACTAAATATTGATTTATTCATTATAGATGCATGGAACATACAGAAAAAAAGAAAAACAGAATAAAATACCAACTAGTGTCTTAGTATAGAGAGGACTGTTGATGGCATTGCAGATTTCTATTCAGTTTGGTGGTGCATGCATAATGATGTTAATAAGAAGAAAGTGGCCAGGTAGTGGTGGTGCACATCTTTAATCCCAGCACTCAGGAGGCAGAATCAGGTGGATCTCTGTGAGTTCGAGGCTAGCCTGGGTGAGATCCAGGATAGACAGCAAAGCTACACAGAGAAACCCTGTATCGAAAAACCAAAAAAACAAACAAACAAAACAAACAAACAAAAAAAACCCAGAAAATGAGCCAGAGGCAAAATCCAGGGAAACTCAATCATATATGTACTATGTAGAAGGTAAGTTAGATAAGTCAAGAGAAAGAAATTATAAACTATGGAGGAGACTGGGAAAGTACAAGGTCACAAGATGATAGGTCTAAGTTCAAAGGACCAGTGAGTGGAAAGCTGAGAAAATCTGTATTGAATTAGATATTTACTGAAGCTTGCTCCTTTGAGCTTCTATTACAGATGTACATATAAACAAAATAAATATTTTTAAAAGAATACAAAGGTGCTGGAGAGATGGATATGCAGGTAAGAGCATTTCCTGCTCTTACAGAAGAACCTCGTTGAGTTCCCAGCACCCATGTCAAGCAACTCACAAACCATCTGTAACTCTGGGGAATCACATTTGTGGTGTACACACACACACACACACACACACACACACACACACACACACACACTTTTTTTAACTGGAAGGAACCAATTTCATAGAACTTCAAGAATAATACTTTGGTAATAATTAAATTTGAAATGGCCATAACTTCTGTATTAGTTAGGGTTTTTATTGCTGTGAAGAGACACCATGACCATGGCAACTCTTATAAAGGAAACATTTAATTGGGGCTGGCTCACCTACAGTTTCAGAGGTTCAGTTCATTATCATGGTGGGACATGGCAGTGTGCAGGCAGACATGGTGCTGGAGAGGTAGCTGAGAGTCCTAGATCTTGCAGGCAATAGGAAGTGGTCTGTCTCACTGGGAGTAATTTGAGCATAGGACAGCTCAAAGCCCACCCCCACAGTGACACACTTCCTCCAACAAGACCATACCTCCTAATAGTTCCGCTCCCTTTGGGGGCCATTTTTTCCTTCAAACCACCACAATATCTAAATGAAAATGGTGAGTAATTCAGGAAGATGATCCTAAAAAGTCAAGGTTGGCCCTAGACATGTGAGAGTAAGCAGGATATTTATTGATGGCCATGAGAGCTATGCACCTGACAAGGAGAGAGTGTAGACCAAGAAGGCAAGAGGGGATGTGGGGTGGTCTGGGCTTGAAGAAGAGATGCCAGCATTGTGAAGACAAGTACTGGAACTTAAAAACATTTTTTTTTTAAAAATCACTCCAGCACCTGATTCAATGCTTGACTCAGAAAATAAATGGAAACTTTCTCTTAAGGAATAGCAAATACATTTCTGGAAAAGCCGGTGTTTGCCATACCATGGACCTCACATCTGTGCCAGGGCACAAAGTAGTGTGTGTTTCTGGCCAAGGCTCAGTCTACAGCAATGGAAAGTTCCATGCCTGGCAGGCACCTATGGTAGGATTTTTTTCCTAATTTTTTTTAAACACTTTAGAAATTACATGTTGTAACTGAAGCCTTCTCCTCCTTTCCTTAGTTAGGTTCAGATAAATACTTTTAATTCTTACATAACAAATGGAAAAGCATCCAGGCTGGTTTGTTCCCTGAATATATTTGTCATTTTTTTTTTAAACCAAGAATCACCAACCACGATCCTTGGAAACTTTATGTTTTTCAAATGCCAGCCAAAGCGAGAAGACTGGTCATTTTGAAGGAAATTACTCTCCATTTTTTCCTCTTTTAGTCCATGCACATGTGCTTAAAATTCTTCCTGGAGAACATTCAACTTGCAAGAAAGCTCAGTCAAAGACTGTAGAACTGGAGGAACAGGAGAGCCTTTGAGATTGGTCATGCATTTGGTTTTCTAAAAAATTCAATTTGGTGACCTTAACATTGTTCCTAATGTTGTATGTACCACTTATACCCAATATTGGTATACTTAGATATTTACATACACCCATCATACATTTTGTCAGGAAAAAAAAAATCACCACGGAGGATGCAGAATTACAAAAAAGGCATATCCACATAAGCACCAAATCATTGCACTGTCATTTGGAAGGGAGCCTCGCTCAAAGTTTAGTTCTGTGAGAGTTTTTGGCAAGCTTTTGAATGGCTGGAGTTAAATGGAGACATTATAAAAAAAAATAAACTAAGCTATTTAATGGCCAAAACTAACAGGGCAATGTAGTTTAAGCATTCAGCTGGTTGTGGTGGAGCGTTCACCCAGGCAGCTGATGTCAGTTCTGGGAACTGGTGTTCAGAGCAGTGGAATAAACCAGCGTTGATGGATTAGGCTGCAAGGGGGGTCCGTTTTCAGATGTCTGTCAATGACTAACGGGAGAGAAGTAAGCCCGCAAACCCGATGGACAACTCCAGCCCCGAATGTTTGACGCTTTGAAATTTCAAAATGATAATTGGGAGAGATTAAAACTGTTGTCCTAGCTGGGCTTTCTTGGGCACTGGAAAAAAAAAAACCAGTTATTTAAAAAACTCTCCTTTTCTTAAAGGGGGGTTGTGCTAGGACAGTTAAATTCTGAGGTGAAATATCTCAAATGCAAAGGAACAGAAATGGCATGGGAAACGGATAAGCCTTTTAACAATTCCAGTACCATACGTGGCAGCGTAGGTCCTGAAGATATCTTCAGTCTTAGGAAAGCAGTCTACATCATCACTGAAGGAGATCTGCCTTCAGGCTTATCAGAGCACGCTATGGGATGATGCTAACACTCGATCTTGCAGCATTTTAATTTTTTTTCTGACCACAATAACTCATCAGAGGAGAAAAGGACCAATCATGGGGAAAGCTTCCCATAGCCCGTGCAAGTTAACTGAGTCAAGAAACCTTCAGGAGGTATTTTTCTAAGTCCTGAAGGGAGAGTGTTCTCTCCATCTCAAGGTTCGCATGTGCAGACTCTGTGCTGTGTTCCATGGTGAGAACACCAAGGATGCAGTCAATGAATTTCCTTCTTTGTGTTACACGTTGCTACTAGTTTCTTTTCAGGAATCGTAGCTTCTAAAAGCAAAACCATTTGCTTTCTTTAACATTGCAGTTAACTTCATGTAGGGGATCGACAGAGCGCTCTTCTGTACTTCAACACTCACATCTAATTCTGAGGGGCAGGGGGACTAGATGCAGAGTCTATTTGCATATTAAATGAAGGAGAGTGAGCAATCGTCTCTTCTCGAATATTTGGTCCAATGACTTTCCCCATCAAGGACCCACATTTGCATCCCTGTTTTGACTAGCTTCTTTTGCTTTATCTCAGGACCCATCTCTTTCAAAGTGCACGTACTATTTCCTCAGAAGACTACTCAGTCTCCATGTCTTCCCCCCTCCATTCCGCACACACACATATTTCTGCTCCCATCCACAGCAGCAGTTTAAAAGAGAGTAAATGCTATAAAATGTTTGCATAGAGAAAATGTCATACCTTTTTCTTTCTTTCCAGTCTTATTGGCAGAAGAGTCTTCTTAAATGCTCCAGCTCTCTGGCTAGTCTGGGCAAAGGAGAGAGAGAGGAGATGTTGGAAGGAGGCTTCTTACAAATGGACCTTTGTCTGCCTTGTCTCTGCCTGGGATTGACAGTCTCTGCTCCAGTCAGGAAGGAGGGGAGAAGGGGAGTGGAAAGAGACAAGAACTGCCTCTCTTGACTCTTCCAAAGCAGAATGAACTAAGCAGTTTCTTCACAGAGGGAAATAACTAGTCTATACAAGAACCTCCGTGGTGCAGAGTCTTGGAGCAATAAAATTTGAAACCTTAGGATTTAAAAAGAACACAGAGGGACTTTTACTTTAAGAGAAGTTTGGGGGTGGGTGGAGGGAGGAAAGGGGACGAAGCAGAGGATATGTTACTTAGGAAGAAAGGCGAGGGTCTCTTGTCCCCTCATGGTGTCCCTCACCATTTATATAACTTACAACATTTTGATAAAGGTATTTTCAAGTTCATATTTCATCCTTCCATCATTTACCCATTTGATGAAAGCAAAGATAAATAAATAAACAGAAAATTATTTGGGTCTCAGAAAAAAAAGGACACAAAAGGAATTGATCATATTTTTGAACAAAGAGTAAAATTCTAGAAATTCTAACCTCTATTTAACTATCTTTCGGTTAGTTTGTTGAGATCGGGTCTCACTGTATAGCCCTGGCTGGTCTAGATCTTGCTATGTAGACCATGTTGGCTTCAAACTTGCAGTGATCCTCCTGCCTCAGCCTCCTGAGTCCCGGGATTACAGGCACATACCACCACACCCAGTTTTCATTTAGACCTTTTAAATTCAATTAGGAGCAATGTTACAGGAACTAGAGACAGTATGACAAAAATAGATGTATGTAGGAAGAGAACAGAGAAAAGGGTATCCCAGGTTCTATTCAGAAAATCACAATGGTGAAGGACAGAGCAACAACGTTGGGCACGACAAGAAGCTTTGTATGGCTGAAACCAGAGATCTGGGAAATAAAGCTAGAGAGAGCGTGATTGAAATACCTCCAATAACAAACATCATGCTCTAGTTACGTTCTATTGTTGGGATGAAGTACCCTGACAAAAATCAACGAACAGGAGAAGAAGGGTTTGTTTAGTCACCAGTTCAGGTTTCAGTCCATGGAAATAAAACAACAGTCAAGACAGCAGGAACTCCAAGCAGCCAGTCACATCACATCCACAATCAAGAAGAGAAAGAAAGGATGCACACATGCTCACTTGGTTGCTTGTGTTCAACTTGATTTCTCCACTCTTATACAGTTCAAGACCCTCTGCCTAGGGAATAGTGCCACCCAGGGTAGACTTTTTACATGAATTAACCAAAGATACACCCACAGACCAACTCTATGTAGACAATTCCCAATTGAGATTCTTTTCCTGGGAGATTTCTACATTGTGTCATGTTGACAATTAAAGCTAAGTATCCCATCAAAGTGAAAATCTGGAATTTTATCCTGAAAGCTAATGAGAAAGTGATAGAAACATTAGAAATGATGACCCCCTCCCCCCATCTCAGTGTGAAAGAACTATAGTGTGAGTGGAAAGACAGTTGAGATGAGGATGATGCGGTGGAACAGAACTGTAGCAGTAATCCATAAGAGAAAACAGGTAAAAGTGAATTAGCAACGCAGGGGAAACTGAGTCACTCGGTTAGTAATTATGTTGTGTTTAAGACAGGGATAGTTAAAGGAAGAGCACATTAACTTTCGATGGCTTGGGCCTTGATGGGCTGTGCTGTCATTCATGTGGAAAAAGAATCCAAAAGGGAGAGCTGCTTGTTATTCAAACAGGAAAACAAATATAAAAGTTTTGGCGAAAGCAGGAGTGGGAAGTCAGAAATTAGTTACTTGGTCAATGTTGAGTCAAGGAGCATTTGGGAATGTTTAATTGGCAACTGGCTGGACAGACCTGGAGCTCAGGAAGGAAAAAGTCTGGCTAGAGAATCAGGGTTTACTAATTAATCGACTAAACGCCAAATCATCCCAACCATATGACTTGTAGAGTGAGTGTCTCAACGAAGTGATAGCTGGAGCCGTGGCTGTGCTACCCAAAGCTTACTGTGTTTTGTGGTAGACTCATGACCTGTGTGGATGTATCCCGCCTCTTTACGACCCTCTGAAATGGCTTCTTTTATGGTATCTCTTAATACGTGAGGACATATCGGAGATGTTAGGTAGCTTGCCCAAGGCCACACAGCCAGAACACAACAGGATCAGATTACAGAAGAAAGAGTAGTGCTGGGGCCAGAATCTTCAGGCTCGTCAGCCTCCAAGGGACAGGTAGCCAGCTGAGGTGAAAAGGAACAAAGGGGCAGCCAAAGAAGTACTCTGAAAATCAGAAGAGTGGTAGAAGTCCAAAGGAAGAGTATTTCAGTAAGAATGAGGGTGGCTCTCAATGGTAGCTCTGGAGAGGCGATACATGCCCACGCTCATACAGAGGTAGGTTAAGAAAAGCAAGGTTCTGGTTAGACCAGTATTTATCTGCTGCTGCGCTTAATTTTGTCAACCTTACACAATGCACAGTCGCCTGGGAAGAGTCTCAATGAGGGATTGTCTGCATTTGGGTCAGCCTGTGGGCATATCTGTGGAGAAATGTATAAATGAAGCTAATTGGCATGGGAAGATCTAGCCCACTGTGGGAGGCACCATCCCCCAGGCAAAGGAGCCCAAACTGTGTAAGAGCAGAGAAATCAAACTGAGCACACGCAGGCAAGCATGTATGTGTTCGTTTCTCTTTGCTTTCGACTGTGGAAGTGATGTGACTAGCTGTTGGAGCTTCTTGCCTTGACTTCCTCACAACTATGGACTGTAACCTGGAATTGTAAACTGAAATAAATCCTCCTTTTCTCTAAATTTTTTCTTCCTTCCTTCCTTTCTTTTTGCTTTTTCTTTTCTTTTCTTCTTCTTCTTCTTCTTCTTCTTCTTCTTCTTCTTCTTCTTCTTCTTCTTCTTCTTCTTCTTCTTCTTCTTCTTCTTCTTCTCCTTCTTCTCCTTCTTCTCCTTCTTCTCCTTCTTCTCCTTCTTCTCCTTCTTCTCCTTCTTCTTCCTTCTTCTTCTTCTTCTTCTTTCTTCTTGAGGCAGGGTCTATGAACACAATCCTAGTTGTCCTGGAACTCATTATATAGAACATCCTGGCCTGGAACTCACAGAGATCTGCCTGCCTCTGCCTCCCCAGTGCTGGGATTAAAGGCGTGCGCCACCACCGCCTGGCTGCTTTTTCTTTTCTTTTCTTTTCCTCCCCTCCTCTTCTTCTTCTTCTTCTTCTTCTTCTTCTTCTTCTTCTTCTTCTTCTTCTTCTTCTTCTTCTTCTTCTTCTTCTTTTTTTTTTTGAGGCAGGGTCTATGAACACAATCCTAGTTGTCCTAGAACTCATTATGTAGAACAGTCTGGCCTCAAACTCACAGAGATCCGCCTGCCTCTGCCTCTGGAGTGCTGGGATTAAAGAGGGGCACCACCACAACCAGCCTTTGTTAGTTTGGTGTAAGAGTGCAGAAATACGAGAAAAATGGGAAGTACCTTCGCTGCATCTGAAGCACTACTATGTGCCTTGCTGAGCATGCGCAGATCTAGTTCAGCAGCGTGGTGCTCACCTGGGATTCCCTGCCGTCAGAGCCTCCTTCTCTCTTGCATTTCCCTGATCCTGTTGCTCATTCTGTCTCCTTTGTGTTTCAGGGCACTTTATATTATCGTTTAGATCCAGCAGTCCCCAGGTGTACAGCATTCCTGACGCTCCTTCCTGCAGGCTGGCTTCACATGGTGTGCAGCAGTTCTTGGCCATGGTCTCGTGGTCTCTGGATCACATGTGAGCCACCTAGGTAAGCGTTCCCTGAGGACACACATTTGGACCCTCAGCTCCCAATTAGGTTGTCAGACATTTATTTATTACCACCTGGGCTTTCTACTATGTCAGGGGAACATATGAAAGATTGTTAAGTACTGAAAGATTTGCTGTTACCTCAATGTCCTTTACACAGAACTGTCCAGGGCTGGAGAGATGGCTCAGAGGTTAAGAGCACTGGCTACTCTTCCAGAGGTCCTGAGTTCAATTCCCAGCAGCCACATGATAGCTCACAACCATCTATAATGAGATCTAGTGCCCTCTTCTGGTGTGCAGACATACATGTAGGCAGAACACTATGTACATAATAAATTTTTTAAAAAAATGATTAAAAAAAAAAAAGAAGTGTCCATTTTGAGAAGTGATTGAGTTGCAAACCCAGACCGGCAACTAAAGAATCTGCCCTTGTGATTTTTAATGTTGGACTCAACTCTGGCACGGTGGCACACACAATCCTAGCACTGGGGAAACTGAGGCAGAGGGATCTCAGGTTTGAGGCCAGCTTGGACTATGTAGTGAGACCCTATCTCAAAAAAAAATGAGGCTCAAGGTTGAAGGCAATATTTTGTTGTTTTGTATAGGGACCATTTCCCTGCCTCTTCTAATGGGTTGTTATTCAGATCGTCTAAAGAACCTTGCTTTTTGTTGCTCTGGAGACTCCTCCCAAAGAGAACATTTTAAGTGACAAAAAGCCAACATTTTAAGCAAAGTCGTTCAAATACATTACCAGATTTCTAGAATAATATAGCCAATTCTGCTTTTATATTTCATATTTAAATAATGATAAATGTGTTTTCCTGTATTTTTATTTATACATATGATCATTTCTAGACCCCCAAAGGTTTGCTACAAATAAAAACTCACAAATCAGTGACAGATGATTTCTAAGCAAAATAATACTTCATGCAGAACTCAAACAATTACGTTCAAAGAACCTACATTACATTTGAAAAGGGGTCTAATTTGTATTTCTTAGAAACAACAACCACTACCATAAAATTCTTGCAACCAGATGAAGTCTCAGAATTATCTGGGATATAAATAATCTCAGACATCATAAATGTTAGGCTTGTGGGGGAAAAAACACCAACAACCAGAGCCTCTGTCAATCCTCCCTCTGCTGCCCCCCTGGGGGCTGATGCATATGCCCCGATTCCCTACCTGCTTGTCTGTTCCACAGTTGACCTCTTTTTCTTGCTTCCTTCAGGCTCCAGTCCCTCAGGAATCTCTGAGGTTGGGAGTCTGTGGAGAAGCAGCAGCTGGTTTCTCC